GATTTGATTTGAAACTGTCTCATTGCTATCTGTTTATCAATAAAACTGTAGGAAAAAAAATAAATAAATAAATAAAAAAATTAATTTCATGAGCAAAAAAAAATAAATAAATAAAATAGCTGTGGAATCACTTTTAACACTTGTGCGCAACATTTTAAACATTGTTCTGCTGCCTTGTTCTGTGGAAGTAACACATGAAGTTCAATAATTGGTGGTAGATAACATTTAGAACTGTTTTTCACCCTTATCCAAAGTGCATCTAATTTTGATTTGCTTTGTTTCTTTTTTTTGCAGAAACAGGGACTGAACTCAGGCCCTTGCGCTTGCCAGGGAAGCGCTTATTCTACTGAGCCATCTCCCCGCTCCCTTGATTTGCTTTGTTTCAATACCCACATCTAGTTTCAACTTATCAAACTGTTACAAAGCAAGACTGATTTTTGTCCCACTACTAGTACTTTTTAAATTGTATGAACGTATCTATAACACATGTACTTAAATGCAACTATCCTTAAGTTTGGAGATTTCTCCATCTGTTTAAATGGAGGGAAACCTAGTCTATATAAATGAGGTTTTTTTTAAAAAAAAATCTGTATTTATAATAATTAGTAAGAGACAAAAAGTCTATCTTGCTCTCTAAAAGTACCAAAAAAGCAGGGTACATACACACTAGCAATCCCAATACATGGGAGCGTGAGGAAAGATCACCACAAATTCAAGGACAATCTGAACTACACAGTATGTCCTAGACTATGGATCTAAGACCCAGTCTCAAAGATAAACACCATCAGTTTTTCATTCCAAATCCTAAAACCTTTTCTCTCTCTTATATCCTGTTTGTCAATTAGCAGTACAAATTAAATTTTAATAGTCATTTCTCATAGCTGGCATATCCCTCACTGCATTATTGGAACCTCCCCACTCATAAATCTAGTATCTGTTTTGGGGGCTATTAATCCATAAGCCTTTTGCTATAATGAATTCAGTATTTGTACATTAGTATTAACCAGTTAACTTTCATAGTTTATTTTTATTCTTTTTTTTTTTTTTTTTTTTTTAGACAGAGTCTCACTATGCAGTTTACACTGACCTTGAACTCACAGCCCCCTTCTGCCTCTGCCTCCTGAGTGTTGGGATTACAGGCATGGCCACCATGCCCTCCTTATAGTTTAGTGTAACAAGTCACTGGCTGCCCAGGATAGGCTCAAAACTGTGATATAACCTCCTGCCTCTGCTTCCCAGAGCTAGGATTACACTCTTGCTCCACTATGCCCACTTCTTCTATCTTTTAATGGCTCAGACTTAACTATTATAAAATTTTCTGTCTTCCCAGGAGAAAGAGTAAACACAGTTTGAGGAATGTTAGAAAAGTATTTATCAAGCTGCATCACAGAAGCCTTCCTAATCAATGAATTTAAAATGTCAAGTCTAGAAATAGCCATAGAAATCAGTTGTATAGGACACAGGAATGGTCTCACAATCAGGTGAAAAAACAACTGCTATTACCACTTACGACATTTTTATTGGCATATGACAATTTACAAGGGTCCCTGTTGCATTATACATCACACTGAGTAAGAATCGTTTAGCCATCTACATTCATTCTTAAGGGTAATATTTTTTTCTCAAATTAAAATTCCCAACATTGATTTTAACTATGACAAAAAGGAACAAGAGCAATTTCTTGAAGCAGACTGAAACTAAAAAACTTTTTACTGTTCTAGGATGTTAAAAAGTATACACACCTAAAAACTGGAGTCATGGCCTTCTAAATAGTTTTGATTTTTTTTCTGGAAATACCCTTTGGTTTGTCTTTTTATTTCCTTTCACCAAGCAAAAGAAAGTCTGTTAAGTATCAGAGTTATTTCCTGACACTTATAAACAAATATCCTGACCAAAAGGAACCATTCAGCTTTTATAACATCATAAAATGTGGAGTTAAATTGTGATTTTAAAAAAATACAGAGTACTTTTTATATTATTCTGGGCTCTGAAAAAGATAATATCTTTAATGCCATTCTACTGCAGTTTTCTCACAACCACTCTACCCTATTATATTCTCATAGGATAAGCTTTCCTCAACTTTATGAGAATAAAATTAACCAAAATCAAAGCAATGCATGTGCACTTAAGTATAATCTGCCCACAGGACGTAAGTAGCTTTATTCCCAACTCCCTGTTGAATACATTTCATAGCAAATCCCCTTTCCTCTTGCCTTTCAAGAAAGAAAAAACGCAAAGCTACACCAATTTTAGATGGCAAAGAAATTCTGTGTCTAACCAAATAGCTAACTGTTAAAAGCAATGTATATGCATATAAAATGGAAATGGTATGAAAACTGTGTACGTAGGGGGCTCAACCATATTGCTTTGGAATTTAAATAAGCAGTACTCTGAATGAGAGGGTGTTATGTCCAAACTGATGCAAAACATCCTTATGCTTTGAGAAGTACCATTCCTCTGTTTTACTAGGTCTAGGTAATTTCATAAAGATAAAGTAAAAGGAAACAATACCTAAGGACCTTAGGTAATAAGTATCAAACATATTGACTTTCCTTTTAGTTTTGTTTTTTCCAACAGCTCTTAGCAAAATATCCCTGGCTGTAAAATTAAGGTGTTGTATGCATTGCAAAGCATTAAAAATGAGGATGGAAAGACCCATACACTTCAGATCTTCAAAAGGTCACATTTATAGAATAAGCATTATTTTAAATACAAAAAATACACAACTAATTCAGTTGTTGAATGAAACATGGTATTTATATAGACGGACTTAAATATGAAGCTCACTACTTCAGATTTTCATTCTTTTAAGAGTTACAAACAAAAAAGTAATTTACATTGGAAAAGATTATCTAACTAAAGGAAAGAACGCTTCTTGGAGAGAAGAAACACTGTTTTACAAACTGGAAGTGAAATAAGGTGAGAAAAAAAACTTCGCTCAGTGCTAGGGCAAGCTTCCTGCACCTTTTATTGATGATCAGAATACAGTTACTAATGAACAATTATATTTGTCTGTTTTTTCTTATGGTTATACTACTAATTTTCAGCTACCCAAAAGCTCAAATAATATATAATCTATGAAATTAGCTACTGGACACTTCAATCTATTCTGCAGGATAATCCTCTCCATACCAAGATTAGGGTTACAGATTTTGCTTTCTTTCCTTTTTCATACTAAAATATTCTGTGGGAGTGGGACATTTTACTTGTTATGTTATTATAAATCAGTTCCCCCTCTTAACCAGCTACACTAAGACCATGACTCAAGCTACCAAAAGAGAATCAAAAGAACACTGAATTTTGAACTCCTAAGAATGGTTTTCCAGGCCACTGCTTGCTTTCAATAAAAATATTTTCTCAAATCTTTTAATCCAGCCTTTAACAGTTGGTATGTTTTAAGCTATTGGCAAAGCATCTTTTCCTTATTTGCTGAAGTGTTAAAAGTAATAATTTATCAAAGTAGTAATTTTTGTGGTACACTTCAAAAATTAGTTACCCTACAAATGTAGTGTTCAAATTACCGTAAGATGTTAAACAGATGTACACAGTTAAAATAATTAGTGTGGTCACTATAAACAATTTCTGCTTACGGATTTGTATGTAGAGCTAACGTTTACTTCAGAATAAACATTAACAAACAGGGAAGGAAGAGAATCAGAACTTTCACAGAGCTGTACTTGACCAAATCTTATAGACAAAGCAGAATTACAATGCAAATAACAAAAACAGTAAAAGTACTTTTAAAAGTTGAGTTACAAATAAGGTACATAACAATTTTCTACTTTATTTCAATACAATTTTCAACATACAGTCTACTATTTTCCAAGGTATCTGAAGACTTAAAACAAAATTTCTATAGACTACTTGCAAACAGTAAAATTTAAGTAAAATGCTTACATTCTTATTTGAAAACAAAATTCAGGTAAAAAAATGTTGAGTGCAAGTTCTGCTCTCTGTAGCAATCTTACTTCAGAGTTACTATTCCTAAAAGAGAAAGAAATTAGAAATTAAGTTATCAATAGATGTCTACAGTGAAAATGAATAATAACTGCATGTTTCTAAAAATTACTTGAAATTGCCAACCAAACTCACACCAACAAAAATATTAGAATCACAAGATGAAATTTTCTACCTTATCTTCTTTGCGTCTATCCTTCTTGTCTTCATTATTTTCCATAGTCTCTTCTTCGTCTTCAACGATTCCATCCCCTTGATACTTGTCATGGGTCCATTTTGGACTGCTACCTGATTTTTTGAAATTAAAGCGCCCTCTGCCACGCTGGAAAGTACCACGACCTCTTCCTCTTTTGGCCCAGTAATCCACACCATCATCTCTGTCATCATGCTATAGAAAGTTAAAAAATAAAATCAGTAACATGTCTATATTATAAAGAAGATAAGCACTTCTCCAATCATAATTCCAGTAGTTTTTTCAAGACTGATTATAAAACTGGTAATGTTCTAAAAAACAAAACCAACAAAACTAATTTTTAAACCAAAACATACTCCATTATTAAAGAGAATAATTACATCTTACTACCTAATAACCCATGTACCAAACATTGCCCAATTGGTTGGATAATCTCAACTGCTAAATCACCACTAATTTTCAAAATCTTGACTTCTCTGTTTACATCCTACTTCAACCTAAGTCTACTTGTCACTATGCTGAACACAATTAGAAAAAATTTCTTGAAAAAAATTACCTCGAAGATGTGCCAAAAATGTCATAACACTGTAATATTCATAGAATAAAACACGTGGTATATTTATACCTAATACAAAAAAGATTTTAAAATCTTACAGTGTAGGGGACTGAAATCTAAATCAATAAATATGTACCAATATTCTTAACTAGTATATTTCAATGACAAATCACAATGACACAGTCTTTTAATCAATATATGTCAACTATGCCCTTCTTCACTAACCTAAAACTCTAAACCTATTGCAACCTTTTTATTAACTCTATTCAAATACATATCTTCCAATTTAAATTTTCTAGTAAAACTGTAAAAGGTAAAAGTACCATACTCTGAGATGAGAGGTATTATTTGAAAACACAGCAAATGGCTGAAAGTCTTCTATATGCAAATTAATTAACTGCCAGCTACCTTTACATATTATCTCTTAAATTTCAATCCCACAAAATGAAAACCATGGCAAAATGATAACTCTTTAACAAGGAAGGAGGTACAACAGAAAATGTTGCATAACCTACCGAGTACTACTAGACCTGACCAACTATCCATGTCACTAAAAATTTAATTATTATGTATGTTTTTCAAAACACAGTATCTACTTCTGTCCTTGTTCATGTAATGCAGATTATCCACAAGATAACTAATGAAGGCTGGGTTTGTACAGGTAATTAACAAAATAATATAAAAGACCAACTGTTTATTTCTACCAAGCCTAGTAAAAGATTACTAGCATAGAAGTATACAGTCCCTCAACAAGAATGATGTGGAACCATCAACTGCATAAATGCAAATTTATCAGGAATTTAACTGTAAACCCAGAATAAAACATTTAAAATAATATGCCAGGGGCCTGCCCATTAGCTCAGTTGTTTAAGTGCCTGCTTAATCAAAGCAGTCAGGCTCAGAATTCTGAGATCCAATTCCCAGATCCTCATGTCTTACCAGAACCTGCCCTTAAGGAACCTTGAGGGGGCTAAAAAAAAAACACCACCATTCAAAAAAAAAAAAAGTCTAGGCCAGGTGTGCCAGCTCATGCTTGTAAACCTCAGCACTTGGGAAGCTAAGGCCAGCTGTGAGTTTGAGGCCAGCCTGGGCTAAAAAGTGAGTTCAAGGCTAGCCCGAACTGTATAGTGAGACCCAGTCTCAGACAAAATGTCTAATCAATCACAATTTCATTCTCATGGCATTAACACAGCAACTCTAAAATAGTTTGCGGGGATTGTTTTGTTCTGTTTTGAGGTACTATTTATAGTATTCTGTAAATCTGCAGGAAAACGCAAGTACCTTTGGAGTACAGACACTGACTTAAATCTTAAAAGAAACTATAAGTTTGGATGGCCTAAGAATTTATTTCCTCATTTTAAATAAAAGGAGATACTGGGACCAGGGAGATGTCTCATTAGAATAAATGCTTGCATGGCAGGGGCAAAGGCCTGAGTTCAATCCCCGGTTCCACCAAAAAAAAAAAAAAAAAAAAAAAAAAAAAAAAAAAAGGGATATACCCTTGAGGGAACACAGAAGAATGAACACAGAAAAATGTACCTTGTCTAGTATCTGAAAGCCAGCACTGCATGATAGTGATAACAATGGTCCTAGAGTACATGCTATGGGTAAGGCATTGCTATAAAGTATTTTAATTGTACTTATTCAGCTAATCCTCACAACAATCCTCTAAAATACTTATTATGCTTGTTTTGACTTAAAACTTAAGGTACAAAGAAATTAATACCCCTTATGACCATACCCACAAGACACATTTCCTAGGTTGCTTAGTGGGAATAAATGACTAGATATAAAAATAAAAAAGGCAGTGACAAAGCTAAACATCAGAGTTAAGCTAGTCATTCCTTTCTTCTTTGGGTTTTGTTTTTATTTTTATGACATGGCCTATGTACTTCAGATATACTGGTACTATATGCAGTCTAGGCTGGCCTCATGATGATCCTCCTGTCTCAGCCTCTGAGGTGCTAAGGTTACGGACATGGGGTACTACACCTGAAACTTCATAAACATTTAGAAGAGGAGTTTTTCAGAGGTTACCTCAGCAGCTATTTATTTAGATTTTTGTTTTACCAGTACCAGGAATTAAGCTGAGGGCTTTACCCATGCTAGACAAGTGTTCTACCACTGACAGACACCCATGAACCCTGTTTTAAATTATCAAGACAGGGTTCCCAGGTTGGCCTTCAAATGGCCATCCTCCTGGCTTCAGCCTCCCCATACATGGGATTCCAGACATGCACAATCACACACAGCCTAAGTAAGATTTTTTTACACCAAACATACTTTTTCCTCAAATTCTTACCTCTAAGATTTCAATTTCATTATAATTTTAGGAATTAAATTATTTCAGAGATGACAAAGGGCCAGAAGTTAGATGTTTATACCTATACAAAAATATGTTAACAAAAAGAGTCTGTATTAGACCTTCTGAATCCTCTTATGTCTTTTCCATAGAATGTTTATCAAAATGCCTATCCTAACCCCACACCACCAGCGCACCCTTCCCCTCACCAAGAATTTTCTCTCCCTCAGAATACATAAACTCAACACAGAAAACTTGTGTACTTCAATACCTCACACTTTCTCCTGCTCTGTATATGCTGAGCCCTCCATGGAATTTCAGATTCTCTGATTAAAAATATCACCCCATCAGTGTATTAATTCACGTTTTGAGATGAGAAATTTCACAAAAGAATAGTACTTTCAAAACTCTTGAAGCCAACTCCTTCCAAAACTCGAGGTTCAGGGGCTGGGTAGATAGCTCAGTAGAATAAGTGCCTGCCTAGCAAGTGCAAGGTCCTGAGTTCAATCCCTGGTACTGGGGGGGGCCTCAAGGTTCAAATTCTGACCCTATTCCTACTAGCTGGTCAATGTCTAGTGTTGTTTTTTTTTTTCATCTGTAAAACCAATAGCCCGAAATGCAAAAAGACTTTATAAATACTAAGTTAACATATGTAGAACTTTCAAAACAGCACATGCTCTCATACATAAGGCCCAATAAGTATTAGCTATTTATTACTAAACACGTATTACTATTTCATCAACATGAGCAAAACGTGCTGGTTCATTATTCTAACAAAACCCAATACAATGTTTAGTTTTGAATCTTATTTCATCCTGAATTTTCTTTGTATTTCCATTTTCAACACTGTCTGAAAAGCCATCTTTACATAAAAAAGATGCAAAGAGGGCCGGGGAGATGGCTCAGTGGAATAAGCACTTCCCTAGCAAGTGCAAGGATCTGAGTTCAATCCCCAGTTCCGCCAAAAAAAAAAAAAAAAAAAAAAAAATGCAAAGAGTTTTAAATTCTAATATTCACATAAAACCCACCAAAATAATTAACTCTGAGAAATGACCTAGAAGGAAAAACATAGTATGTTTTACTTATAAGGAATTTTTTTGTGTGTGTGT